TTCCCAACAGTGCTCAGCCTCCAGCCGGACTTTGCTCCAGGTCTGGCAGCCCCTCGGGTGACCCACCTGAAGCCCTTTGCACAGCAAGCGCCCAGGCAGCCCAGGCAGACGCACGTGTCCTTGCACAGCCCTGCCACACGCCGGTGCATGTCTTTGTGCACACTCCGCAAGTGGCGACAGGCTTGCAGCTACCCTCTGCACACCTGTGTGCTCCCACACAGGTGCCATGCCATGGGATGCATATCCATCGATTGCCCAGGATGGAAGGATGGGACGAGAAGGGGCTGCAGGAAGAGGCTGGGGGTGGCAGGGCTGTGCTCTGAGCAGGCTCCTGAGTAGGCTGTGAGTCCAGGGCTTGCTTGTCTGTAGGGACAGGGACAGGAGAGGGCACATGTACGAGGGTGCCAGTGCTCAGTGCAGTGAGGGCGGGCACCGTCATCTGGGGGGCACATACCCACATGTGCCCTTTGTGGGGGAACCCAGGGCTTTGCAGGGCACCTGTGGGAGCATCCTGGCCCAAGGGGGCTGCTGGATGCAGGCATTGGGCTGCTCTGGGAGCTTGGTGCTCACCTGAGAATGGGGTGTGGAAGGGGACAGCCACCCTGTGGGCACCCTGCTCCTGTGCCTGAGCCCTGCCCGCCCCATGCTTGCGTTTCAGGGCTGGTGGTGCTGGGGTCCAACGGGGAGTACCCCTACCTGGCAGCCCGCGAGCGGCTGGAGGTGGTGAGCTGTGTGCGCCGGGCTCTGCCCAGGGACCGCCTGCTGCTGGCCGGCTCGGGCTGTGAATGTGAGTGCCTGCGCGGGCAGCATGTAGGCCATGCGTCCCCCCTGGGGCATCCCTCAATGCTCTGCCTCTTCCCCAGCCACCCAGGCCACCATTGAGCTGACGGTCAGCATGGCAGAGGCAGGGGCCGACGTGGCACTGGTTGTGACACCCTGCTATTACCGGGGGGCCATGACCAGCGCTGCCCTGGTCCAGCACTACACGGAGGTGAGCCATGCCCGGTGCCCACTGGCAGCCCCAGCTGTGGCAGCAGGATGCGGAGTGCGTCCCGCACATCTCTGACCCACCCCAGCTGCTGAGCTCTGCCTGGCTGCCCACAGGTTGCCGATGCATCCCCTATCCCCGTGGTGCTCTACAGCGTCCCTGCCAACACCGGCCTGGACCTGCCCCTGGAGGCTGTCCTCGCCTTGGCTCAGCACCCCAACATTGTCGGGATCAAGGACAGCGGTGGGGATGTGAGTGGGGCAAGGCTTTCCTGGGGCTGGCTACCACCAAACCCGGCCCCGAGCTGGGAATGGGGAGATGGCACTTGCAGCCCTTCCCTGTGCCCCAGGGATGCTGCATGAGCCCCACAGTGGGAGATGGGGGGATGCCCACCCTGGGGCACAGCATATCTCTCCCCAGATTACCCG